GCAGAGCTTCGCTACAATGATATCGCACAAGGGAAGTGAAGCCAGCCATGGGGTATTTATAGGCGCTTGGATCCGGGCTTGGGCCTGGAAACCGGGCCTCCGGTTGGACTGCCATCATTACAAACCGTGGTTTCGCCCAATCGGTGACACCCGCCCACGGGCAGCCAACGAGCGCGCGCCACGTGGAAGCCCCCCCCCCCCCCCCCCCAACGGCTATATTTTGACGTTAGATATTCCAACGGCTATATTTCCAACGGCTATATTTTGGGAGCCTCCGGCTATATTTAGCAGCCCACTCCTTCATCGACCAAAGAACTAGCCCTCGGGCTTTTTACTTCACTCCACTTCATCAAGAAGAGCCCTCGGGTACACTTACCCAGAGACGCTCCCGGTTTGTGCCCCATACACTACATAAAAAATGCCTTCGGGCTCACTCCTTCAGAAGCCCACGGCTTCATAACAGGCCCACCCCTCGGGGATCCCCCCTCAGCACTTTGAGGGCCGGGTAGCCCCCGGGGAATACGTCTCATTGACGGACAGCCTACGGCACACAGGTAACGGGAGCCCTCGGATACCCTCCTCACCAACTAATCAACAAACAGGGGACACTTCAACTACTACTCGCATTCATTACGCCCTCGATCCCCGGATTGAGGGACTCCCCTTCGGCACCTCCCAGGATATCAACAGCAAGCCTCCGGCTAATCAACACATGAGCCCTCAGAACAAGGAAAGCCTTCGGCATCAGCATTATTCTCCATTTCGAACCAGGGCTTCACATTTTCGATTCATCGTTGGGGGAATTCGGTGCACTCTTTTTCCCTCATTAGGATTTTTTCCCACAGGGTTTTTCCTAATGAGGTTTTTAACGAGGCATCCCCCCAAAATGAAACGAAAAGCGTCAGCCTTCGGCCCAAAACAAGCAACATGATTACCCTACTCCTTTTCACCACTTTGTAAGTGCCTCAAGGAGTGGGGGACTGGGGAACCCCCTCGGGAAAAATCACAAAAATCACAAACATGAACCCTCAAGTCCCGACATGTGGGTAACTGAGGGACTGCCCTCGGCAGAATAAACAAACAGCAAACTACCCACAACCCTACAAACTACAACGGAACAACGTCAGAGGACAAACACAATTACTCCTTTTCCCTAAAGTACCTTTCGGCAAAAGGAGTGAGGGACTCATGATGGAGTATATGGCCCGAGAACCCCCGGCCCACAGACTCCTACTACTCCAATGAAGGCCCAACAGGCCCAGAAAGCACAACAGGCCCAAATCACAGCGCCCAGAGTACCAAGCAGCCCACAATGCGCACCAGGGGTGCCTTCGGCCCCCTGGCCGAAGGCTCTAATTCTCACAGGAGGGTCAAAACAGGAAAACAAAGTTACTGGGAAGAACGGCGAAAATCAGTAGCCCTCGGCACCTGGACCCCTCGGCACTAAGGGGGTCCCCGGTACTCAGAGCCCTCGGCTAGTCCTCTACAGCCGAGGGCACCTTTTCCGACATGATATCCGCTCCACATGCGTATAGATCACCGTACCAAGTACGACGTCACATCCAACAGCCGCATTTAATGCGGCCACATGCGGTTGCCCGCGCCAGCCAGTTGAGGTGACCCCTCGGTCAATGGACGCTTGACACGTGTCCCTGTCTGGCATTTATTGCTACTATAAATAGCACCCCATATCCCCATTTGTAACCAAGACACAACACGCTGAGAACTCTGAATATTTTCTAATATACTTTCTCTCTATATACTCATTTGCTCTGACTTCTCTCTTGTTATTCCCCGTAATAACCCCTCGGATAAGCTACCCCCGGGTAGACTACCCATCACTTCCCATTCAAACTACAAAGAAAAATAAAAGGAATGTATCATACTCCCTTTGTCCCTTAAAACTTTGTATCTTTCCTTTTTGGGATATCCCAAAAAACTGTCATTTTCCCTTTTATTCAATTATTTTGTGGTTTTTGTTATTTGTCTCCTTTGTACAAACCTCAAACACATAGTTTTTACTTTATTATTCTCCGTGCCGATCATCTTTGGCAAAGTTTTAAGGGACGAAGGTAGTAATTTTTAAATAATAAGTTGTAATAAAACATAGGTAAGGATAAGTGTTTTCACCTGATAACTCTTATTTTGTGAAGTATATAATTTAAATGTTCAAAATAGTATCCATATTTTTTGTCCGAATTTTTGTAACAGATATCGTATTATACACGTATACGTATTTACACGTTTTTTAAAAGTCAACGTGTTTTTGGATGAACTTTTAACCATTTTTAACATAAAACACGTACGTATTAAATCTCGTTTAAATTAATTCACATACCGTATTTAACTAACTGGGCTTTTAACTTGACACACTTATTTAGAAAGTCAAATTCTATGGTTATGATCGCCACAAAAAGACAAAAACAGTAACAATCACAAATCCTCCCTTAAGGAGGAAGAAAATTATGGGATGGGAGTAATTTTTACATAAAAACACTTCAACCACAGAAAGACACTCAAACTGCATCCAAGTCCAGCTTTTAGGCCCAATAATATACATTAATGTTAACATCAGCTGAGCCATAGCCAATAAATGAAATGCGCTGAAATTGAATTGAAATAGCCTCAAATGAAAGGGTACCGAGATGATATTGACGGAAAGAAAATGCTCAATCTTTTGGCAAATGGTTGTTATTTCTTCTAGCAATCTTCAATACAAGTACTATCTCAGCAGCTAAATGAGACAAAACAGAACTTTTTATTGGGACGGAGGGAGTAAATCAAACTATTACAAACCCAACTATTTCGGTATAATTACTTTACTGACACTAATAATAGCAACATTTGCCATGACCTCTCTAAATAACAACAACAACAACATCCAAGCCTTAGTCCCAAAAGATATTGGGGTCGGCTAACATGAATCGATACATGATATCACAACCAAAAGAAAAAGAATGAATAAAGATAAAAAGATAAGCTATTATGAAAAGATAATATAAAAAAGATGAATATATATATATATATATAAATGATAAAATAAAAAGGTTGCAAATAATGCTTATATATATATATATATATATATATATATATATATATATATATATATATATATATATATATATATATAAGGATAAAAAAACTAGTAAAAAAAAAAAGATGAGGGAAAAAGATTATCAAGATCACTCCTTCACGTGAATACCCGCCCTCCACTTAGTTCTCTCCAAAGTCATGCCCTCATCCAACCCCAGAAAAAGCATATCACTTCGAACTCCCCTAACCCACGTCTGTTTGGGTCTTCCTCTCCCTCTCTTCCCTGCCTCTTGTCCACACATCTCAACTCGCCTAACAGGTGCATCACTCGGTCTTTTACGCACATGACCAAACCACCGTAGGCGCGACTCCCGCATCTTGTCTTCAATAGGTGCTACTCCCACCCTTTGTCTGATTGTCTCATTCCTCACGCGGTCCTTCCTAGTATGCCCACACATCCAACGCAGCATGCGCATCTCTGTCACACTCATCTTATGAATGTGACATTGTTTCACCGCCCAACACTCTACGCCATACAGTAATGCAGGCCTAATTGATGTCCTATAAAATTTACCCTTCAGTCTAGTCGGCATACCTCGGTCGCATAGAAATCCTGACGCACTCTTCCACTTCATCCACCCTGTTCTGATTCTATGGGATACATCTCCATCTAACTCACCGTCCTTCTGAGTTATGGAGCCCAAGTAACGGAACATATCGCTGACCACTACTTCTACCTCCATCAAACTTGCACTCCATGTACTCTGTCTTGCTCCGACTTAGTTTGAAACCCTTATTCTCTAATGTTTGTCGCCATACTTCCAACTTTGCTTTAAGACCTGATTGCGTCTCATCAATCAATACAATATCGTCGGCAAACATCATGCACCACGGTATATCGTCTTGAATTGACTTCGTAAGTTCATCCATGACTATGGCAAATAAGAAAGGACTCAAGGCCGATCCTTGGTGCACTCCGATAGTAATAGGGAACTCTTCAGTCCTCCCTACACTAGTACGAACACTTGTAGTACAATCCTCATACATATCCATGATGATGCTGATATACTTGCGTGATATGCCTTTCCTAGTTAAGGCCCACCAAAGAACTTCTCGAGGTACCCTATCATATGCCTTTTCTAAGTCAATGAACACCAAATGCAGATCCTTATGAGCATCTCTATACTTCTCCATAAGTTGTCGAAGAAGGTGAATGGCCTCAGTTGTTGAGCGACCAGGCATAAAACCGAATTGATTTTCTGAAATCTTCACAGTCCTTTGAAGTCTTTGCTCAATCACTCGCTCCCAAAGTTTCATGGTGTGACTCATAAGCTTAATCCCTCGATAGTTGGCACATTCTTGTACATCACCTTTATTCTTAAATAAGGGGATAAGAGTACTCTTCCTCCAACTCGTTGGCATCTTGTTGTTTCTCCAAATCATGTTGAAGAAACTTGTTAACCACTCGACGCCTCTCTCTCCCAAACTTCTCCAAGTCTCGATCGGTATGCCATCTGGCCCCATTGCTCTTTTCCGTCCCATCTTCCTCAGAGCTTCTTTAACTTCCGTTGTTTGGATCCTTCTCACAAAATCACGGTTTACCATACAATCTGGTATGGACAAATCGCTGATATCTTGCGTTTTGTTCCCGTTGAATAGTGTATCAAAGTATGACCTCCACCTTTCTTTTATCTCTCCGTCGTCCATTAATATCCTCTGATCAACATCCTTCACACACTTAACTTTGGCAATATCTTGAGTTCTGCGATCACGAAGACGAGCAAGTCTATAAATATCTAGTTCTCCTTCCTTAGAGTCCAACTTTTCATACAACTCCTTGTTCACTTTCCCTCGTGCTTCCCTTACGGCTTTCTTTGCTTGTCTTTTAGCCTCCATGTATGCTTCTATGTTCTCATCACTCCAATTTGTCCCCAACTTTTTGTAGCAATCTCTTTTGTTTCTTATGGATTGTTTCACCTCATCATTCCACCAAGATGTGTCCTTTTTAGGTGGCCGACATCCTTTAGATTCTCCAAGTACCTCCTTTGCCACTTTGTTAATGGTCAACTCCATTGATAACCACACATCATCCACATGTGTTTCATTATCAATACGCCATACATCTTCACCGACCATTTTGTGTGTAAAGCTTTGTTGAAGATCTCCCTCAAGCCTCCACCATTTTATCTTTGGCTCCACTTGTTGTTTAACTTGTCTTCTATGGTTCTTACCTCGAAAGTCAAGCACAAGCATCCTATGCTGAGTGACAACACTCTCACCTGGAATAACCTTACAATCAGTGTAGCTAGTTCTCCAAGTGGTCCGTACTAAGAAGTAGTCAATTTGGGTACTATTAGCTCCACTTTTATAGGTTTCAAGGTGAGAGTCTCTTTTCTTAAACCAAGTGTTCATTATAGCCAACTCATACGTCAAGGCAAAATCCAAAATGTTCTTTCCCGCCTCATTCCTAGTGCCAAAACCATGTCCGCCATGAATATTCTCAAAGCCATCACGACTCGAGCCCACATGCCCGTTGAGGTCACCTCCTATGATCAACTTCTCTCCCCTTGGCACTCGTCGCACCACGTCCTCAAGATCTTCCCAGAACTGTTGAGTTGTAGATGCATCCAATCCCACTTGTGGTGCATAGGCACTTACCACAGACACAATCTCACCTCTTATCACCAATTTAATGCTCATGATGCGATCGTTCTTCCTGAAGACTTCTACCACATCCTCAACATAGTCACGCGCCACAATAATGCCTACCCCATTTCTAGTCTTATCTCTCCCCGAATACCACAACTTAAAACCTCCGGGATTAATCTCACGTGCTTTCTCACCAACCCATTTAGTTTCTTGCACACACATAATGCTGATATTCCTTCTGCTCATAACCTCGACTACCTCGGAAGATTTGCCTGTAAGAGACCCAACATTCCATGTCCCAAAACGCAATCTAGCATTCCACCTTCTGTTCTTAACCCCATCTCGGACTCCACCATGCCCTTGCCTATTTGACATCATCCCCGGGCAATGGGATGACGCGCCGCTTCTGGGCGGCGACCTAGCAACCTTAGCATTCTTATCACCACACCCAGGTCTATCAAGTGTAGCGCGCCCTTGCATATTTGACACCACCCCCAGGCGGAGGGATGACGCGTCACTTACGGGTGACGACCTAGCATTAACGATATTCATATTTCGATTCATGTCATGTGATGTGACTAAGTGATACTGTTGGCCGTCACACGCCTACCACAGCACCCTCCTCCTTTATCCTGCCAGGACCTCTCTAAATAGAGTAACAAATTAAAAAATTATACCAACATTTGCCATCATTAATACCACACTTATAATGGGCGAGCCAAGCATAAAACATAAAAGAATTCTGCAAAAGAAATTGTTGAAGCAAACATTATTAAGTGTTCATCAGAATCTGATATCAAGTATTTTTAGGTGGTAATAATTATTTCAGTAAATACTTATTTAAATCGTATTAATTCGGAAAAAACACCTTTGTTAAGATTCTTCTTTTTTAATTTTAAATTACAATACACACAGAGATGTGTATAACATAAAGAGTTTTATGAATTACTATCTATGTCCCAAACAAGGAGTGTTATCAAATATACATACATATGTGTGCGTATTATATTTCTCCATATAATACGGCTGGTTGGAGGTTTAACTGTTTTTATCATGCAGACTTGGAGGCCGTTGGTAACATTGTTTTTCGGCTTATCAGCCAACTTTTTCACCAAACACGTAACTTTTGTTTTCACGCGTTGTATTGTGTAATAATAAGAAAAAGTAAGGTTGAAGTTACTTTTCTGACTGTATTGGCTGAAGTCGTTGTAGATGATCATTTTAGCTATTTTTACATTTAATTTTTTCTTTATTTTATTAACAAAATATATTTTAAAACTATTTTTTTCTTAAATCAGCAGAATCAGCCAATGTAGCCACTTCAGCCAGAACTTCATAAATTTCAGTCGAATCAGCCAATTTTTGTGACCAAACGGGCTCTTAATAATTGAACAATTATATTCATATTGTCAATTTGTCATGTCTTACCTAGCGTGATGTCGGTGTGTTTGCACTGATTCTAGCCATAATATAAGAGCATACTTTCAAAATTATAAGCATGAATCAACCTAGCGACATAAATGGCAAGTAAAGTTGTTTGTGGATTGCATTAACTTTATTTACTTCTGCAGTATGGCCACTATAGTATGACTTAATGTATTGCACATTTACTATCATTGAAGTTAATTCCCTCAATCTAAAAGCCCATGCAAAATCATCGGTAGGGGTTTCTTTAGTTATTAATCATATTATTCATTAAATAATTAAATTATGGAAGGAATGGTAAAAACTTGATGCAATGAATAGAGATTAAGGGCATGTTTACTTTTTTTCTCATTAAGTACTGAATGGATTAAGACGTCTGTCTGCATTAAGGTGTCTATCTGGATTAAGTTACACTGAGATAACAAGTTGTTTACTAAGTGTGCTGAATGGGAAGTCCGAATCATGTCTAATGACCAAATAACCCGCGTGTCTGTATCAAGTGCTGAATGTATATTGTCTGTTTACTTTCTTTGTTCTGAAAGATAAAATTTATATACCAGAAAATAATAATACTATGAATTACTTAAATAAAAGAGTCATATTACATGATAAAACAAAGTCAAGAGTTTTACTACAACGGCATTTTAAATTTAAACATTGCATACTAGTCTATTAGCGATTTCATCCCGCAAATTCGCAAACTGATGTTTAATCAGCAAATATGGGTTTGAGCCTTTGAGGGGACTTAAACAAATCGAATGAGTAGATTAAAAGTAATCAAATTGAATTCAAAAACTAAAAACGTGTATAGTAAATGACAAAAGTAATACGGAGTAGATTAAAAGAGTGATACCTCAACTCCTAGAGGAATTGAGGCAGGCAGGATTGGGTGAGTCAGTCAAATTAAAATCGCTTTGTGAATCTCGAAGAAAGCTAGACTCCGAAGGTGTGCGGGTTGCTACGATTCGGAGATGGCTTCACTTGGCCGCCGTAGAGAAGGTTAGCGTAGAACAGGTTAGCAAGGAAGGGAACGAAGGTTAAAAAAGCGATTGGGGATACATATGTATGTCTGAATGGTAAGGAGTGTTGAATTCGAGCTGAACCAATAAGTCAAAAATCGTCTGAACGAATAAGTCATCTTTTCTATCAAGTCCTAAATAAACACGAATATATAGCTGTCTGAATAAGTCACGGTTATCATTCAGACCCTAAGTGCCAAAAACAAATATCACTCGGCCCGTCAAATGAAACAACGAGGCGGTATTTATAGCGCTATAGTGGATTGGCCTGTCAAATGAAACTACAAGGCGGTATTTATAGCGTTATAGTGGATTGGGGATGATAGAGTATATGGGCCTAGACGCCAGGGCCCCCACACTCACAAAAGACAAACATCACGGATCGGCTGGCCTCTTCAGCCAGATGAGGCGGTCTGCCCAAAATCAACCCGAAAGCTTCAAGACCAGAAGAATGGAGCACAGTGTTGCCTTCGTCCAGTCCTAAGGATGGATCGGGTCGGACCAGGTCGGGTCCGGGCCCAGACCTGGCGGGCTTCAGTAATACATAATTTAGGCCCGGTACTGGCCCGATTTGTACCGGTCTGTGTATGCTCAGTCCTGCTTCCAAACTGAATCGTTTTGGACCAGCCATATACTCCAACATAGCATAACTACTACCTCCGTAACATATATACTTCCCCTTTAAAAGCATGTGAGATTAAGAATAGTGAAAGAGGCATAAATTATTGAGGGTATGATGAGAAGATAATGAAATAGTGTGGTGGAATGAGGGATAAATCCAAAAAATGTAATTGTAATAGTGTATTATTTTCAAAATTATTGAGGGTATGATGGAAAGATTTAGAAATGAGAAGATATGAATGTTACTGCCGAAAAATGAAAGTGGGGAGATATGAATGTTACGAGGAATGTATTTCACAGCATTGTTCATTTTTGGATGAGAAAAAAGCTTAGCCACTCCAAAAATGAAAACCTTCCACACCTGTAAAGTTCCAACCCTGCTGCTGCCAAATTCTTCTCGCTATTGTTCAAAACAAGAACAAGTGAGAGGTGGTTTCTAGTGCTTCCTGGCAGCAGCTGCAAATCAGTGAAACCTACACCCCTTTTGCCTGCAAATTGTCCGCAGTAGGAAGACAGCCCCTGCAAAGCAATCAGAAAAAGTTTCTAACCTTTTCTTGTCTACAGGAAGGACAATGTCTTCATCTGTATTGATGTTATTCATTTTCTATTCATCTACCAACCACTCCCTTAACGACGTGCTAGCCATTGATAGAAAAAATGAAAGGTAGATATAGAAAAACTCTCATAATAAGATCTCATTGTAACATAGGTTAAGTATTTCATTTATGTATGTCTGTATATACATTGAGGGGGGGAGGTCAAGTGGACGATATCCTCTTATGCATGTTTAAGTAATAAACGCTCATTCTTTTCCAATCTGAAGAAATAGGGTGCTCTCTTCCAAAAGCGCATATACAGAGCATAGCCTTAGACTCTCTGTTGAAAACAAGTGTTATCTAAGGGTGAGCTCATAAGAATTCCTCTGTTCTTGAAAAAATCAAAATCCCTACTAGAATTGGTCTTGATAGCTTCTTCTAAACTTGCATGTGGTCAAAATCAACTTTGAAAGTGACCATGATGACGCCACCTTTCGCTATATCATAATCTTGTTTAATGTCCTAGACTTTAAAAGAATGTAGCTGCAAGTCACCACTAATGAGAAGGGAAAATTATAATGAAATAATAACTTTAAAAAAAAAGATAAAAACCACGCAACATTACATTGTAGTTGCAAGCAATGAAGGTCTGTCAATCATCATCATCAATTCATCATCCATATATTTTATTGAGTTTTCTATACACATTTCTGCCTCAGGCACACATACAAGTCATAACACCTAACAAGACCTTGTTGCTTTGTAAGAGGATGTGCTGACATGCCTGAAGCATAGCTTAATTGGAGAACAATGAGGGTTAAATCTCCCTCGCTTTGAGCTTAAGGGTAGGGGTTTGAATCCTACCAAATGCTAGGATCACCCTCGTCAGAAAAAAGTGTACATGGTAAGACTTGTCTTAACATACCTGATGGTACAGAAACCCTATTAGATCAAAAGGAACATCTATGCGCATAGAAACCAGCAAAATGAAAATCATTTCCATGAAGCATAGTACTCAATGGAACACCTTTAATTTTAAAACCTGAAGTTTTGTGAAATATATTACATTATTCAACTGGATCATAAAATGATGTTTTCCCATGGAGAGGGGGAGAACCAAGTAACTATACCTTATATTTTAAAAGCAGTTTATGAGCATTTTTCAAGCATTCTGTGGCAATTCCCCCATATTTTCTCACTAGTCATCCACTTACAAGTTTATTCCTCTGAAATACCTGAAATTGAAGAGGGTGACATAACGTCTGCCATTAGGAACAAAGTGATGTCTAAATAAGTTCCATCATCTAAGCGAAGTCCCCAATTTTCAACGACAGTGAGTATGGCATTCATTGTCAACCACAAGGTGATGTATTGCCTGATTACAACAACCACCGCTCTGTCTAATCCTGAAGAAACGATTGCAGAAAATATTGGTCTGCCAGCTGTGCCAGATGGTTCACCATCATTATGACTGGTAGTGATCTCCAACCTATGTTTTTGCAGTCCTCGTATATTGAATAGACAGACCAAATTTTCCAGTTTAAGGGTAGCTTTCCAGTAATTTTTATTCATGCAAATCCTTGCGCACAATGCTCAATTTGTATTCATTTTCAGATACTTCACAATTCACAGCCATATTAGACATATTTAATTGATCTTAGGACTGTAATTTATAAACAAAGACAGACGGAAAGAGGGAGTGAATAAAATACTTAAGTATGTGCCTATGTGTTACAATCACTATCTACACAAAGAGAAAAGTGTGGACACCAGCACTGGTGAAGGACAATGGTCAAGTATCAAGTACAAAGAAAGTACAAGAGATGGGTTAGGATGCCCTGCAGGGAAAGAAAGGGTGGAGGTTTCTTCTTCCAAGAACAAAAATAACAAGTTTGCTAAAATTAAAGATAAAGCAAGTACGAGGGAAATAAATTTCTTCAGTTGTTTGTAGACACCTCTAATCCACGTATATCCTCAGTCTTCTTGAAACTCAAAGGGTTCATCATCATTACCCCAGTGGCGCAAAGGCTCCCACCTTCGGTGGGGTAAGAGGGGGTCGGATGTACGCAGTCTTACCCTGTACTAAAGCATGAAGAGACCGCTTCTGGATGACCCATAATGAAAATCGCGTCGAAAATTGCATGGACTAACGGCTTCAATAACAAAGAAGCGCAGACAGTTTAGTGAGCCATTTTGCTTTATTCTATCATATTCCCAAGCCAAAAATAGTGAGTCTTTGGCTCCATTGCAATGATAGAAATTTAAACTCAAAGGGCATTGCAATTACTTTGGAGAACAAACTCTAATTGATGAGCACTGTTAAGCTTTACGTACAATTCAGTTTTTATGGACTAAACAACAAACTTAACTTTGATTTTCACGGGCACAACATTAGCCTCTGATCTAAAGGATTGTTTATGTGCAAATTCATGACCTTACACGGGTGATGGGTATGTGAGAAAGTTTTAGGTACACATCACCATTCACTACTGCTAGAAATATACTCTCTCCGTCCCCCAATTAAGTTACCACTTTCTTTTTTGGGCAGTCCCTAAATTAAGTTCACACTTCCTTACTTTCCTTATTTGGCAAATTACCTACATCAAAATAGTGTCAAACAGTGCAAAACAGTGCCAAACAGTGTCAAACAGTGTTTGAACAGTGCAAAACAATGCAACTCCACAGTAAAGTCAAATTTATTTTCTTAATACGTGTGTAGTCAAACCGGGAACTTAATTGGGGGACGGAGGGAGTATCAAGAATGTAAAGGTAGTGGAATTGGATTTCCACAGGTTCAAAGATGTTAGTTCCCTATGTTTAAAGAATCTCTTACTGGCAGAGAAAAAGTAATGAATTTGATGTTGTGAAATAATTTTTTTGAGTGTTCTCAATGTCAAGAAAGTATTTTTGGGCAAGATATACTTAGGCACAATCCAAAGTGTCAAAAAACTTCTAATTATGCTTTAAAAAATGTTGGTGAAAAATGTAAAGATATGATTTTAAAAATATTTTGGTTAAGGAATAATTTGTTTGAACTTACATGAATAACCATACAAAACATCGTTACTCTAAAAGAAACTAAATTGATTTGTTGGGACGGTGTTAGGGTACCTCAGGGATAGGTTTTGTCTTTTCCTGGAAATTAATTTGGTGCTCTTGTACTCCCCTCAAAATTCCTTGAAGACCAAATAACACAGCCATGTCAGTTTATGCCTTTTAAGGTCATTTTCCCTACTGCCACTTGAGTCCTTGAACAGGATACTAGTTTTATGTTATTTGTTCATCAATTAGCACAACTAGGCTAAAAGTAATTTGTGCACACATACACTATCAGCCACATCCGAAGAAAATGAAAAAGAATTTAATGTGTTTTTTAGAGAAATAATTTAATGTGTTTGTGTGTTTGGAATGCGGTAGTGGAAATAGGGGTAAAAATCTAACCTTGTAAGCCCAACAATTATGTGTGGCACGAGATTCCCTAACCTATGCATATACCCAGAAAATTACAATCAAGATAATTCAGAGCTTCAGACGACATACATAGAAGATTAAGTGTACATGACTACATTACTTGGTGCAAAATTTCATGTACAATCAAAAGAGGAATCATAGTTCCGCTGATTCAATCAATAGCTACATTCCAAGATAATTCTATCGTGTAAGCTGCATTCCAAGTCAATTCAAGTACCAAGATCTGGTGATGGCATCCCCACAGGAGGGCCGCGAGAGAATCTCCACTCTCCACATGCGGCACAGTTGTCTGCCTCTATGGCATTATCTAGTGTACAAAGTTTGCATGTCCATGCATGTTCCTTACCATTAGAATCTTTAGGCCTTCGAGTTTGACAAAGCTCGCATATAGGAGCGTATTGCGGATTCAACAAGGTGCACATTAAACATTTCCAAGCAACTGAGTTCTCCAAACTGTGCACCACCTCATGGCCATGGGGTTCTTTTGCACTAGAGTTATCATCAGTTAAATCCACAAAATCTAACCCTTTACAATCACATGGTGGCTGAGGGAGTGAAGTTCCCTCTGCATGGACTTTCTTGCAAGATTTGTCCCTGTCACTAAGCGGCTTTGACCCTGAGATAGAATTAATCACAGTACCATCATCCGAAGAACTTGAAAATAAAGCACTTTCTGGCTCTCTATTTCTTTTTCGGGTTACTGCATCAACAGCCTCTATATCAGCACTGCTAGAAAGCTTTGGCTTCGCACAATTAGGCTCCACATTCAAAGGGTTTAATGACATATCAGAATCATCATCATCTTCTTCATGGATATTGGAAGACTCTGAAGCACACCAAATATTATCCTGAGATCTCCTCTCAGCAGCCATGGCAGCCGCTTGAATGGGTGAAAGTGCGCCCATGATTGATCTATCACCCCCAAGGCGTTTAGGACCAGGTGGCAACAGGGATGTAAGTTGTGCCCTCTTTTCTGCAGCAGTAGCTGCAACCTTCCTTAGAGAGGACAATGAAGGCTGGGGAAAGAAGCCCCCCAAACGCTTTCCAGGAAGATCAAACCCTTCCCCTGTCCCACTTATCCCCTTACTCATAAGATCTTCGCATTCCTTCCTGAGTTGGTCCCAGAGCTTGTAGAAACTGGTATTGTGAGGACCATGAGAATTGTGGCAAAGCTCATGAAGCATGGTGTCCAAAACATTATCATATGGTAAAAATTCTTCATCCCTGTTAGGCTTCCTAAGCCTAAGCTTTACATTAACACCGGCTCCTACGTTCACTCCCAGAAGTGATGGATTCTTCGGACAGAACTCCGAAAGGAGTTTGACTCTCCAACCGTGTTTACGCATGATAGGATGAACTTGTTTGGCGATCCGCTCTAGGATCTTCCGGGCCTCTTCTTCTTTCGGCTTTCGTTTCAGCGATTTGATCTCCCATACCTTGTTGGTGTCTCCTAAATTCATTTTCGAACTGATTCCTAAAAACCTAAAATAATGCAGATATTACCTCGGTAAGGAAGGATTCAGAGATATGGGCAGCAATGGAGATGAATTTCCCCTTCTCGGTCTCCTTTTCGCAAGTGAATCTGCCTTCAACTGTGAGAATGCTCCTTGGCCTTTGGGATTTGAGCTCGACCTTCAAGCGGTGACCATTAATCTCATGGCTTTTGGAATTTTTGCTGTGCACGTAGAGAAACTGGAACTGCGGCTCAACCAGGAAACTAGTAGCCAAATGGCCTTTTCAAATCCATTTTTTTGGGGTCTTTTCCGCGCACCGCTGTTATTTCTTGGAGCATCCCAACGTTATCAACGTTATAATACACTCCGTACTCCCTATTTTTCTGTTTATATTTTTCTACTCGAGTACTCCAAAAGGTTGAATGTCCAACCCAAGGGCCCCACCCTGACCCGACAGGATTGTGAGGAGGTTAATCAGGGTGACTCAGTCAATAAAGCGGCGGTAGGCCTTATACACGTGCGCATCAGAGGTCCAGCCTTATTTTAGGTTCCGTAACCTCCACGCAGCCCTATTTTTGTACTCCGTATTTGCTTAGTGCGGCACTAGTAGTGCGTCCTTAAATATTGAGTAAATAATACTCCTAATAATATTTTTTTAATTAGCCTAAATTATTTTATATTTTAGAATTGTATAATATTTTTTCTCCAAATATTATAAATAAATAGCCATAAACATTGTTTTGATCATGGTCAAAGTCATATGATATACAGATATTTTAACTTGTTCTTGTCTCAGATTAGATCAAATCCAACTTACATGATAATAAAGCATACATGTAACTGTATATTATTAAACTAGATCAGTTCAAACAAGAGTTAAACATATCTGAATGATTAGAAATTTTGAAATCAATTATAACTATTTAGTTTTCAATTGAAACTCAAAAAATAACAATTAAATCGTTCTTTTTTATACTTTTACGGTGTATTTATGACTGATGAAATGTAATTATAAACTTAAGTTACATGTCTTCCGAATGTAAAAACAGTATTACAATTTTTTATGAACTACTTTTTATCAATTAAAAATATATTAAAATATTTTAATGGGTGACGTAGCCACAATTATATGTAAATTTGAGTGCTGAAATGACTGAGTCCACAATCTTCTCATGAGGTTCCAAGCTTAGCAGGTGAAGTCGAGCTTGGATGTAGTATACTTGTTTGGGGGGAGGATGACCTCAGTTCATTATATGTGAGTAGCGATGCTTTCTCTGCTCTGTTGATTTCGCGAAGCGCCATTTGACTCTAAACTCGGTTATGCCGCTGGATTTGATGTTGACCTCAGCGAGGCATGACCTCAGCCTCGGATGCACTTTTGGGCTCATCTCAACAATCTTAGAGTCGAATTTCAGACTTGACCTCAGTTGAGGTCAAGCTCGGCCTCGATGGTAAAATGACTTAGTGCGCGAATTCTGGATATCTTTTTCTCATGAATGATGATACCTCTGGGGTATATTAAAATATACTCCATCAACTACGATTTAGAAAAAAATGCTTTATAATATATTTAGAATTTCAAAATGTTTAATGTTTTAAAATTATTTAAACTATTTCCTTTTTCCTTTAAAAATTCTAGAAATTATATTTGGATTATTCTTAATACGTTTATGGTGTAAGAATATTTAAAAAACAACTCTTGCCGGTCAATCGTGAGTGTGTTTTAATTTTATTGAAACCAAGGACCTTCAAACCGAACCAAACCGGGCCATTATGACCTGGTTCGATTCATATTTGTTATTAACCGTTCCTTTCTTGATTACTACAAAAAAATATGTGAAACCTTTAACAAACCGTTATATAATAATTAAGTGTTTATCTATTACTTATTACTGTATATATGTGTATTAAAATTTATTTTTTTATGTATTTTTAAATTAAATTCACTGATTTAATTTAGTTAATAGAGTTGATAATTTGATATGCATTTATCCAGTTCCTCTTGTAATGAATGTCTTTTTTGTTCTTTACTAAAAAATTCACTTTAGCATGTATTTATGTTTGTAATTTAACTTTTAAGATTTGAAACGATGATAACCTTGAACGTATTTGTATTTCTTTTAATTTTAAACGTTAAATGCCTTAATGTGGCACAAATTTAACAGTGATTTGTAGGAGATTTAAAAAAATTAGGAACCTTATCTATTATTGGTAACTCTTTCTCAACAAAGACAACCGCAATGTCTAAATTTAGACGCAGACATTGTCAAAAAACATACAAAAAAAATCAAATAAAGAGATAAGTATTCTACTTATTAATTTTTGCGAGTCTATCTCTCTCATGCCACTACGCACCGTGCATATTATAACATTGAAGATGCTCTTATACTCATTCTTTCCCTTACAACTTTGTCATCTTTCATTTTTTAGATGTCCCAAAGACTTTGTTATTTTCCTTGTTAATCAATGAAGTTGTAGTCTTATTACTTTTCTTTTGTCTATACAAATCTCAAATACACAAATTTTATTTTATTATTTCATATGTTAGTCAAATTTGACAAATCTTTGAGGGGCAGGAGTATCCAAATAGCTATTAGCTAATATTATAAAAATATGTATTCTTAAATTATTCATTGAGATATACTCCGTATTTAATAAAAATATAATTTGTTTTGCTAAAACATTATTCAAGAAAATATAGTCAAAATACAGTTTGTGAATAGTACTGGGGAGGTGGCTTCCGTCCAACCCCCTTACCATTTAATATCCTCCGTTCCGTTTTAATCACAACATGTTGAATTTTACACTATTCACATACTCTACTTTAATTACATTTTGCGCTATAATTATTTTATGAAAATTATTTTTAAAAAAAATATTGTTCAATTCATCTCATTCCAAATTTTCAAAATCTGATTTTTAATATTTTTTTTACTAATAGAATTAAGATATAATTACGGTCAAAGATGTGCGTTGGCAATTATGAAATGTTGACTGTTGCAACTAAAAAAGAACGAAGGGAGTATTTAACTGTTGTTGTTGACTGTTGACTTGGGCAAATAATACTCCGTAATAAAATTCTCATTTAATATAAAAAAGTAATTTTTAAATCGCGCTTTGGTTATAGCCTGTTTCATTTCATTCTATTTCTTTCCTTCATGATCCCAGATTCCCAGAGCCATTTTTTTGTTCAAGTGTACTGCAGCCAGCAGCAATAAGTTTCAGTTTGTATTTTTAGTATGCGGCCATTTTGACTGAATGTACAATCGTTATTAACATCATACTAGTTGAATCAAGTAATACATACACTTGCAAGGGATCGCTAATGAGGTTGAACTGCAGCGAAAAAAAATCTTCAGGTATGAGAAAAATGATACCCATCATTTCTAAGGCGCAGTTTGGTGGCGCTAGAATTACATACATGCCATGGTAAGTTTTAGTAGAAGAAGTCATTGTCTTGGTCATTCACTGCATTCTTACACAACATTGACCGAACTTCAAGAATTGATCTTGGAGGTTCCATGTCTTTCTCTAGAAGTGCATTTCCCAACAGTTTCTGCATGTGTGATGCAAATATATCTTCTAAAATCTGCAAGTCAAAAGAGAATTTAAGGTTTATTTAACAGAGCCTTCTTGGTTGCAAATTCATTATTATTAAGGCTGACAGCGCAATGTTTGTCACTACATTATGTATGTATATTAATCAATGTTATGAATATGTTCAGTTAAGAGCAGTAGCAGCGCTCAGAAATGGGGTTTTCTGAGCAGAAATGGATATTGAAAGTACTGTTTTCAACTTTTAAAGTACTCTCTCTAAGTTTTGTCCATCTCACGGCAAGATCGGCTGAATAGAAAAGTTAGCAAAGCTACTTACAGTTACGGCAATACGTGAAGCATTATACCAAGACCTGCTATCTTTAATATTTTCCAAAAACTTCAGCACGTCCTGAAACAAAAAACAAAGATGTTTTTGAAGAACTTTTACAAAACAAGCTAGGAAAGTTTTATTGCTATCATGAAGTAATAAAGAATAACAGCCGCCATCTGTTGTCTACCTGTCCCATTCGATCCCAAAATCCTCGGCAAATAATTATAAAAACTTGAGTTTCAAATACTACATGTAGTTGATCGATCATATTTTCTAGCATTTCCTTTAAAGGCTGCATCCTACTACGCAAATCAGATTCAATTACACCCTCCTTCGCGTCTTGGATTATTTTCTTCAACTTTGTGGTATTCTGGAGCTTTGTCTATGCAAACACAGAAAGAGCATGTTAAAACCCTTAACACCAAAATATTAGCTTAAGAAAATATAAAAGCTTTTGACAGCAATAGTACTTGTGCATAATTTCATCCACAAGTCGAAAAAAGGTAGCAACTTGCCAGGGAAAACAGAATGATATCTTGGTATACAAAAGAGAGCATACAAATTCGACATATATATTTGAATGAGGTATGATACCAATGCAAAATCTTCAGGTAGTAAAGTTAAATAATGAATAAATGGTTAATAAAATACACTATTTAAAAATAATAAGAATAAGCATAATAAGATAATTAAATAAATAATAATAATGAAAATGATAACAATACCCAGTACCTACATTTTCAACAAGCTTATCCATCAAAGCTTGCATATAACTTTTAAATTTGGTTCGAAGCATTATCGTGATCTCACTGATACGCTCTCCTGGGAGCACATTGCTGCTGTCGGGAAGGCAAGAACCCCATGACTTGAACTGAGTTTCTATTTGGGGTCGTACAACGTCAAGCATCCTTTTCATGGAATTCAAAAGAATTCCCAGCTTAAGAAAAAAACATAGAAGGTTCAATCCTTGATGATTTGACAATTATACAAAAAAAGAAAGAGGCATAAGAGAGAAAAGGTAAAAATAGGTTGAAAAGTTTAGCAAAAAAACTGTTACACCTCACCTCATTGGGAACTGCATATGGACCCACATTCCCTTTAGTCATTTTCTGTACATATTTCAAACCTAACTTAAACGGAACCCCTATTTCTTTGAGTGGAGATAGGACCTCTGCATATTGTTTATCCAAAGTTTCCATAACTGCCTTCTCAACATCTGCTATAGCCTACATATTAACAGTGACCAATATGTAAATATCCTCATTAGCTGAATATAACTGAAAATAAATGAAAGAGAATGAGCTTTACATGACTGAAATTATTTTATTGATCTAAAAAGTCATCATTTTCATTCATAGTGTATTAAGCAGGGCATCACCTGAGCCCTGTTCTATGAGAAGTAGGAAAAGTAAATGGAATATAAGTGTTGGACGGATGTACATACACATTCTAACGGAAAAACATATTCAGGCCAGCGACTGATGATAATCTCATATTCACTCAAGGTCTCCTTTAAGCGATCATAGATGTCATCAATAAAAGGAGTTGTGGAAGGCTGTGTGTCCATTCCAGCCCACTTCATCTGCAAATGAGTCAGTAATATTTAAGTATAAATTGCATGGAAGAATGAATCAACCAAAATATAACCTTTTTACTAGCACACAAATGCAAGCTCTCAATACTAAGTCAATTGGGGAATAAATTCACTGACTAAATGCCGCTCAGCAGATTTCAGATTGTGATTGTTTTCCATTATAATAATGTTCCATTGTAATATGCAATACAGTATGTCACCGTAGAAGAACAAAAGGCCTACCTTATCAAGTTTGCACAAATCAAGCAAAGACTGCCTTTTGTCATAGATCCAACGGTTTATGTGTAAGTCAAACAACTCCTTTGCATCAACTCCACCTTTGACCGGACTACAAAGTATAATTTTCAAGCAAGTAAAAATTCTAGTTGAGTGCTCGAGTGAAGACATTGTATAGTTAAATGAAAAGGGAAGGAACCCTGGAGAGAGGAGAACCACACCTAATGTTCCAGGAAATCAGGGCCCTCTGAAAATCAGAGGTTGCAATAATGAGGCCTGCCATAGGAGACGATGGGCCAGTTGGAGGGCATGCTATAAGGAATGCACGCAGTCTGTTACATAGCTCGGCGCTATATATGGCTGAAGAAAGATTCGGAAGGTCCAAGAAACTACAAAAAACCAAAGCACCATTAAGATGTCAAGCTGCCGAGCAATTAAATGTATGACGCTAGACACCTAGGGTTAATGGGGATATGAAATAAAACCTTGGGAGTACATCTTGACTGTGGATCTCCAAGTCGGTAAGAATTTCATTTCGGATATTCAAACAAAGAGAGACCATTTTCTGATAAGCTGTGGAAACAGCTACAGGATCCATCAATATTTTCTCGCTGTAATTAGATACAAATTCATCAGTCTCTGACAAGTGATGTTTGGCTCTCTTCTTTGCAGCAATCTAGATGAAAGGTTGAAGAGAAATGCTGGTTTAGTATCTAATTTATTACAATACTATTGTTGTTGATGTTGTTTAATTTCTTTACACACGCATTTCAGATGTTTAACATGGATAACCTGAAAGTATCTGCATAGCTTCAGCTGTGCCTCTGGAGAAAGGATATCATGCAGAAGATTATAGAGCTTTAAAGAAGAAGCAAGGGCTGGAGGAGCATCTCCTGTAGCTGGTCTGAATGTATCAGCTATCCCTGTTGGCAATGATTCATCCAGAGACTTGTAGTTTTCAAAAGCTAAAGCAATGATCTCCTCAATTTTCTCAGAAACTTCTCCCAGGATACGATTCTGGTCCATAATGAACAGGACATGCAGAATTAAACTTACATGAAGAAATCTATAATAAGCTCAATATTTTAAATTCATAACTATACTTCTGTAGATGGAACTTGGAAGGAGCACACAAAACCTCTATTGTTGGCGGACCAAAATTAGAAAAACAAAATTTGAAGACCAAAACTAGGAATGACCTTATAGCTATGTTTAAGAAATTGGACCGCACAATCACCCGTTTGGAGCACCAGGTAGCAGGTCAGACGGGTCGATTGTTTATTGCACCAATATGTATTTGCTCCGTATTAAATGGTGTTGGTAATTAATGGTGGGCCAACTTTAACATGTACACATCAGTTTCTTTTTCAATTTGTTCTCTCCATCTTCCCCAGACACAAATCCCAGCCCACTCACCCACTTCATACTCTTCATATTCCCCACCCCCACTTACTACCAATCCACTCCCTAGTCCTCAACTCTTCCCCAACCATTCATCTTCTTCTTTCTGCTGTATTTCAAAGTTACAGCCCCTCCCAATTCTTCTTAAATTACTTTGAATGCACAGATCTAAAAAAGGAAATCAAAACTAGAGTATCAGTCAAAAATCTTTGGCATTCGTCCTCTTCAATCTACATCTTTCTTGATCGGAAATTGAAAGGAAGTCCTCCTTTCGTCATCTTCTTCATCTTTACATCCACAGCTATAGATTAGGAAATGGAAGCTCTAACCGGAAATCAACCGGTTCCGTCGGGCTTTGACCAGTTCTTAACCGGGTTTTGAGCTTTTCCGGTTTCTGACTTGTACCAGACCGGTGATTTACCCGGGTTGGCCGTTTTCCGGGTCAACCCGGCCGGGCCGGGCCAGTTTCATAAACACAGCCTTATAGTAGTAGGATAAAAAATGTGGATGATTCATTTTTAAAATATCAATAAGAAGAAAAAACTGTGCCTAACCTCTTGGTGACTCAGGGTGTTTTTAGTTCTGCCTTTCATAACTACAGGTAACATCAAATCATGAACCAAATCCAAACAGTCTGCAGTCGGTGTTGCAACATCCATGATATATGAAAGATACCTATGAATAAATAATCAATACTTTTGTTTATATACTAAAAGTAGGAACACAAAGGTCACCACAAAATTTGAAGTGATATGCTTGAAAGACAGCATATTCCACCTTAGCTTGGTATATGCATCGGAAATTCCATAATAGGATGCAAATTCAGATACCAACCACTTCCAACAACCATGAAGCAACAAATTTCTTTGTTGAAACTGCTGTACTTTCATTGCTGCCTCCAAAACACAGTCATAGGCAACAGTCTCTGCAACAGTCCCACACTAGGAACAATTTTTAAAAATTAGGCAAAATGAACCCTAGGGCCACAGTATAGAGCCTACTGAATGAAAAAAGCTATTCTGGAAGATTTTACTAACCTTAGTATCATGACTTTCATCTGCACTAGTAGAATAATTTATGTACAATTGTACTCTTCCAACAATTTCATGCTCTGGTTCATGGTATATGGGCCACCAACGAAGCTTCTCTCCCTGAATTCAAGCTGTTCCCTTATACAATGTTCTTTTAACATCGAATTACACACAAATCAGTTCGATGATGCTAAGTCAAGAAAATAATACCTGGTCTTCAGAAATATCAGCTATTTGAGCTATGGCACGGCCACAATAAACTCCCTTAGAATCATGCACTTCAATAATTAAGTCATCTCCAATTCCATCAGGTAAGCTGTAATCAAAGACATTAAATTCACCAGCAAATATATAGAAGGTCTAGCCACCAAATTATGACAACACGTTGAATAAATAACATACAATATATGACTTTCAGTAGATCCAGGCTGCATTTTGACAGCATCCTCCTCGGGCAAACTCTTCACCCTCAGCAAACAAGGATATGTTTCTGTTATCAGAATTTAAAACAGATTTAGCCATTTGGGCAGGCATACAGTCTATCGTATCAGTATCAGAGATCTTGGATATGTTTAAGCTGGGTGATTGATTATATATAAGGTATCTAAGTGTAGAATTTTTTAACTAAGAGGGGCGCTAATCAACCTTATTGATTATTGATTTGAGAATTCACATTTACAGATAATCAGGGACAAGTTCATTTAAATGATTTCATTCCTTAAAATGATCTATGAATTAGGTCTTCTCCTAAGAAGATGGACATCAAGAGTGTACAAGAAAACAATAGGCCATTGCTGAGGGAAACACGTAATCTTGGAGCAATGGTTCCTTCAAGGCTCTTAGAGTGTTTCTTTGAAGCTTTTTCTATTGTCTTTTTATATCTTTGTATTTGTTAAAGGAATTTTTCCTACAGCCTCTTTAATCTCCATTGTTTTCATTACACAATTAACCCATTGTAAGGTTGTATAAATTTAGTCAGTAAATTGAGCTTTAATTACTATTAACTGCAACAACAAGAACAGTGACACTACATGATCAAGGATCCGCTGTCCATCTCAAAGCACTACTTTGTGTGACAGAAGAATTTTAGACATTGGTAGGCCGTTAGAGCTAGCATTTTTCTTACTGTCTTGGTACATATCTTTGTGTCAATCCTAGGGGGTGGGACAGAAGAATTTGTGGTAATGATCACACTACATCAAGGATCAGCACTCAGTCTATTCCTATTTGGAGTTGTCATGGATGAGTTCAACATGACTATCCATGATGATGTAGGTAACAGGGTGCATGTTGTTTGCATATAATATTATTTTAGCTGATTAGTGGGAAATATGAGGTGACCCCAAAGTCTTTTGGGACTAAGGCTTGGATGTTGTTGGAGTAGAAAATATGAGGTGAGTTAGAATCAAGAGATTAAGCATAAACTAGCAAGGAAATGTTATTGGTGTAAATTTTGCACCTAATAAGCTGAAATACAAAGGGTGAAGTTAAATGCTGAAAGTATTTGTAATCCATTGCTTTAAGTACCTATTATACAGAAGCAAAAAGGAGTTAAATCGATCATGATCTGAAACACATACTCAATGTGTGGAGGTTACAAGGAAGAAAAGTGGCAGGAATACTATGCCATCGTAATGTGAACGAAGAGGAAAAACACACCATGAATTGTACATTTAATTTCAGCTTCATTTTCCTTAAACAACACCAATTTACACAGCACTAGATGTGGTAGCAGAGGGAAGAAAACGATAAACAGTACCGCTAAGAATTTATAAAATAGACAAGAATGGAGCTAATAATCCTTCTCCTAGGTATGTAAATGATCATTATACCTGGCACCACTTCATATGATTTGGAAGTGGTTCTAAGGGTAGTAAAGCCAAGTTTTAGAATCCCGGACACATCTTTCATATACCGAGCACCAGCATGCAAAACTGCCAAGCTTTGATGTGAAATAGAGGCGTTTGGAGGAAGTCTGGGAGAAACACGGACTTTCCTTATTACTCCCCACTCAGAACTGAGTGTTGATTTTAAGTTGGAAATCTGAAAGCGAAGTGAATCAATCTTTTCTTTTGATGGCTTTATAGAGGAAAAGCTGCATCCGTTTGGTGGTTCAAAACCCATTTTCACTTTACGCACTGCAAAAATGACAAAGAATTAAAAAAAATGGTCAAATAATTAATTGATGGCCATTCTTATGAATGCTAACAAGGAAAGAGATGTCAAGCACCTTGGACTTTCATCTTGCCAAAAGTTTTCTTTGTTTTAACCATTGCTCCCTCACTGACAAGATCTGTTGACGTTTTCCTCAATAATTCTTCCTCGGGTTGTAATAACGCCTGCTTTAATCTAAAATACCAAAACACAATGCGCACATTAGACCCTGCTAAAGTCATTAGCATTACAGCAATTGGCTGATATATGCCTCTAACAAAATTTTTAGGACCATAGGCAAAATATGAAGTTGCCTAGCATATCACTTGGCACATAAAATAAGATTAGCCAACAAAAATATCACTAATATATTTAGTTTCTATACAGAAATTCCCCTTGATAAAAAAGAAAGGCAGCAGGTACTATCAATATACTCACCCAAATGCATTTAGTAATAGAGCGCATTCATTTTCTAAGAAGACAGGAGCTTCTGCGCAGCCTTTGGCCCATGAGTGGAGACAAAGCCGGAGACATGCCTCATAAGAAACAAAAGCATACCATGTACCTCTTCCGCTGTACACAGATTGAAATAACAAAAGATTGAATTTAGGCTACCATTATCCAATGTCCAGACTCCAGATTACTTGAAATGTAGTATGTCATCCGGATTCAAAAGGCTGGTCCACTCTACTTTTAAAAGTAGGTTTTAAATACGTGTTCCAATTACCCTTTTTGGAAAATATGAGCTTATCAAATGACATACATGTTGTTTCTGTTTCATCTTACCTCTCCTACTCCTTTTACATTTTAACCTATAATAAACTACTCAATACCCTTACTCTTGACTGTGAAAATCCGATTGGAACACCCATTCAAAAATAGAGGGAGCACACCACACACCAATTAAATACCTTGCTTGGTATGTAGGAAACTGAGAAAACGAGTGATTACTGGATATAGCAGCAGACCTGAAACACACACACACAATGTGTTACTCTAAGTTTACCCCTGTTCAAATTACATTCATGAGAAGCAGAAACATGCTAGGTACATTTATTACCTCTCAATTGGATCGGGTATTCTACTTTTTTTTGAACATTGTGATGTGCTAGTGGAAGGTTCACCTGTGGTTGCAGAACAACGAGATGCACCAGATATTGAAGTAACATCTGCCTCAAAGTTTTTAAAATGCTCAGTAGTTTGGTGATGAGCATGGTGAGAACCAGCCAAGGGTGGCGCACTCGGAATGTCGTCATTGACCATCCTAATATTCAATCCCTGAGAGCACAAAATGAATATTAATAGAAGTATATCAAGCCTAATGCCATTACATTGATGAAAGATCGGTGGTTTAGACCAGATCAGTCCTGAGGATACTAATAAGCAGCATACTAGTGAAAGAGAATGCAACAGTATGTATATAGTTGAACCATCACTATCCCACAGTCCCATACTCTAGCATGAAAGCATATTAAGGAACCTTTTTTCCACTGCTCCCGTTTGAATGTACATTTGTATGGGCCCAAGAAGCGCCTTTTCCGAACCGAAAAGAAGCAGTTGATTCTGAGTTCAAGAGGAGTCAGGTAAGTTGCCGTCGCTAAAAAGTGGCTGTGAACGAGTATAAAAATGATGATTAAAAGGAGGGGCATTAGGGTGATCCTTACGCCTGCCATTGGGAATCTTGTCATCCTGCGGCGAAGTTTCAAACGAATACCTCATGCCACCATCGTCTTCGTCTGAATCAGAGCAGGTATCCATGTCAGATTCAGCATTTGAAACAGAGAAAACCCATGATGGCAGCTGTGATGCCACCCCAGCCCGGCCTCGATTTCTTACCCCAATCACAGGGTCGAATGCTCTTCTCTGACTCTGAGTAGCCATTGTCAGAAACAACGATCCCCGCCCGCCCACTCTATCTTCTTACCCTCACTACCCAAAACCCTCAAGATTCAATCTTTCCAACCCCTGAAACTGCAAAAGAATCTAACTTTATACTCATTCAGATAGTGTGATCATGAAAACCGCATACGCAAACACTGAGAAGATAACCCAGGACAGTATTTTGGGAAACTTACAGAGAAGGAAAGTTGATGAGAATGCGAAAAGGCAAAAGCTTTTGGGTTCTTCAATTTAATGTCATTCAAAAACACCCGAAGAGAGTGACTCATTCATTAGTTAGTCGTATGGCATTGACTGGATAATAACGAGCATAATCAATGTCGGGTAAAAGCCATTAAGAAAGCCAATTACCAAAATTTCGCCCGGAAATTCCCTACTCCAGTGCCGTAAGGAAAATAGCTTGACATGAAGGAGAAGTCATTATGAAGGAGAGCAAAGGAAAGGGCGAAAAAGTGCATTGAAAAGGGAAAAGTGGTCAAGATTTGTGTCGTGGGCGTATGAATATATTACTCTATAGTCCATAACTTCATACGGAATACTTCTTTACACGTTAAATTTCACTTTCCATTATCTGCTTTAGTACTTTAAATTATCTTACGTGTTATAATTGTGCTAATCTTACGTTAAATTTCACTTTCCATTATCTTACGTTTAATTTATGTTACTTTAAATTAAGTTAAATTGGCTCTTAGATGGACAGGCTCTTGCCACAAATTATATCCTACACCCGGGTGTACTGTACATCCGGTTTTTTTGAAATTAGTAGCAAGTTTCAGGGTAATTAATAGGCCAATGTTCCACTCTTCTTCTTTTTTCCGCCGACGCTCCAATGTTTCAGGGTAATTAACAGCGCGTTGCGACCTTAATCCCTCACCGTCCTCATCTGGCATCATCATCATCATCCGCAGTTCTCCCATTCGAACTTCTTCTAGCTTCCGCACTGCGCCGATAGAAGTTGGTTTCCGATTGCTAAGCTATCGGATTTTTTTGGTCTTTGGATTGGTTTGTAAATTGGTTTCCAAACGTTAACTTAAACATTGGTTTCCAATTGCGCCGCTAGACGTTAGCTTCCAATTGCTTTGTAAATTGGTTTCCAATTGCTACGTCACTGAAGCACCGAAGATCTTTTGACTTTGGATTTTTATGTACAGTCTATACATTAATGGGCTTCTTATTATAATTACGTGAGCATACACAAAATAATATTTGAGCAAAATAGAGATTTTAAATGTGTTTTCATTTTTTACCGATACTCATTTAGTAAGTTACGTATGCTCATTTGATATTGATGTTATGCTCACTTTAAAATATCAATCACGTATGAGTACAAATCACCATACTCAATTGCAAGTTTCTAATACTCAATAAATAAAGTTTAATGTTCAATGAAAATGTTTTGATGCTCAACTGAAAAGACTTATGATTTTCATATCAATGCTCATTTTGTAAGTCACGTATGCTCAATTGATAATCACGTTATACTCATTTTTAAAATGTCATATCAATGCATATTTGAAAAGTACAATACTACATTAGATTCACATATTGAAGTTAATAGGAGTGGACTATAGATATAATTTAATAAGTTTTTATAAAAGAAAAAATAAGAAAAAGAAAAAGAGTTAGAAGATATGAAGTACAAATCGTGATATTCATCGTTAGCCTCCTAATACTCAATAAAATAGGTCATATGCTCACTAAAAGTATAATATTGCTCATTTAGCAGAAGCCATGATTTTTCGCTTAAATTACAAAAATGTCACAGAATTGTTTTTGGTCTGTATCAATTATTGGGCTGTCTTTTCTTAGTTGGGTCGGGTGTACGTACACCCAGATGTACTATCTAGGCGTTGGGCTCTTGCTTGTTTTTACTAGAACTCTGGTCTTGTCTGTTATGGTCTGGGACTGAAAAGTGAAAACAGTTCAAGTAAAAACATCTTTATTTAATGTTTACTAAAACGCAATTTAAATACATTAGGCATGTTCACTATGGTTGTGAGTTTTCTGCTTTTGATGTTTAGAAAACAAAAAACCGTTTTCTATTTTAGTTACTAGTTTTCTCAAACCATGTTGATTTTTTATGTTCATTCAAAAAGTATTTCATGAATTGAAATTCATTTCTTTCTTAAACACACGAATACAGAGAAATAACATTATGATTATTTTCAAAATTCATACCATAATCATTAATCAATAAAATAAACATTCATAATATAAAAACTATAGTGTCTCATAAAGCGTCCAAGCATATTACGTCAGAATGAACTAACCCTATATGAAACTTATGCATTAATTTTTCCCATAAATGTTCCAATAAATTTAAGAAAGTCGACTTTTGTAGATATGAGTATAGAAAAGTCGACTTTTTCTATTTTAACTTTCGTTTTCTAAAAACTTCATACGATTTTAATATAGAAATTGCTCTAAGTAGGAGCAAAAACGTTTTGAAGTTCAGAGTATCATGTTTTTTATTCTCTGAATAGGAGTAATCTGCCAAATTTGGAAAAAATGTCATCTTTTAAATCCTAGTAATGCCAAATTTGGCAAAAATTTACTCTATGTTCAAAGAATAAAAAGCATGATACTCTTATTTTGGAATTTCAAAATCTTTTTACTCGTGGAATACAACCATTATAGTATCTAGGAACATAAACAATTTGTATTGGAGGTGTTTTGCTTTTTAGTTAAACAGGTATTGGAAAACTGCCTAATACCAAATAGAACCTAAAATATATGTAAACGATAATTTTAGTTCAACTATAGTACGGAGTAGTAATGTTGTATCCCAAATCTCATGTGACCGTGCAGAGGGATACCTATTGGGATCTCAAATTGGCCTATCAACCCATTTTTGGCTATTTTGATAGTTAATTAGCTTTTTGACCATTCCAAACACATATTTGGGTGTTTGGTTAATCGGCTTTTTCTATTGAGTTTTTATGCCGATCGGCCAAAAATCAATACTCTACTAAAGTTAGCCTTTTGCTTTCGGTTGTTTCACTTTGTTCTTTAAAAATACAGATTTAGTCTTATCTTTAAATCACAGCTCTCCCGTTGATGTAAATCATACTCCGTAGCTCCTATATTCAATTTACGTGTAGTGCAACTTCAATTGTTCCAAATTAAAAATTCACTTTTGTTAATGAAAGGACAATTAACTTCCATCTCTAAAAGCATGACGACCCACTTTTGTTAAGAAAATTTTTAATGTATAAATACACTAATAAATGTATAAGCGATGACATTAACAAAATTTAGCAATATATGAACAAAATACATTGCAATCAATGTTATTCGTTTTTATTACTTTTTATTACTGATGGAGTATATGGGTCCAGGCCCCCAGGACCCACATACTCAGAAGAACAGAGAGCACAGCCACCACGTGGTGCCCTCGTCGGCCAGAAGACCCTCGACGACTAGAGAGGGACCAACTCGGAATATAGCTCTGAAGCCAGGGAATCAGGGTGCCCTCGTCGGCCACGCCCTCGTCGGTCACGGAAGTCTCACAGAACCGGATCTTATACTTATTCATTTGTATAGCCCATTAGTGGCTTTGTATTCGGCCCAGTAGTGGTCCAGTTGTAAATGGGCCTCCCAAGCCAAGGCTTGGGAGCCCAGCCCGTATTTTCCCTATAAATACTTCCTCTGGAGGTAGTTATCAGGGTTACAAAATCATTCTATTGAAGCATATTATTTCATTTCTCTCTCTAGCTCTCACTTCTCTCTAGACAATTACTCTATCATTTGGTGCTTTCATTGAGAGCTAGAACAATCAAGTTAGCACCCTTCGTCGCTACCAAGCACAGCTAACCACTGATCATGGGAAGAACTAAATCAATCCGCAACCTCGTCAGCAAGGCCATCCCTGAGGACCAGGAGGCCAGGGAGCACGAGGAGGATGCTACGGCCGACCAGGTCGGCGGGGGGGACGTCTTCCAGGAGGCCATCAACCTCACGACGGACCTCCGCAACCAGCTCAACGGCGGAGCCCCTGATGCCCGCATCGGCTTGGACAAGAAACGAGCTGAGAAGACAGACCACGCCCCGGCCCAGCCTATGGTCGCGGCCTCTCCGTTTGTGGATCCACAGGTCCAGGCCGCGCTGTCGGTCATCATCGCCAGCTTGGCCCAGAACCCCACTGTCCTCAACGCACTCTTGCCAAGGACCGGGGGGAACGTCACTCCACCTCCTCAGCCCCAACCGTTGGCCGTCCAGATAGGCAACGATGAGGGGGTGATGGCCCAGGACACGACGTCGTCCCACTCCCACCCCGCTTCCCCTCTTCGGCCTGGGCAGACCCCAGCGCGTGGAAAAGCCTCTGCCTTCAATAAGCTAGGTGACACACGCCGTCGTCCGGTTTCAGAGAGGATGGCAGGGCGGATTGGTGAGCGTCGGACTGGCTCGCCGAGGGAAAGCTTGGGGTCTGTGTCCCGGACAGCGGACCAGCCCCGCCTGGACAAGGGCAAGGGGAAGTTGCACGAGGACGACGTGCGCCACAAGATCAATGCGGCCCACGACGAGCGCATTAGAAACCAGCAGGGCGCCGCTGCGGCCGCCAGGGACCCCCGGGACGAGGTCATCGCCCATATGGAAGGAGGCTGGCTCAGATGGAGGCCAGGCAATCGGCCAACACCCCCACGGCTGGCGCCTCCAACGACCCCGGCCTCAACGCTCTCATGAACAAGGTCAGCGCCCTGGAGAGGGAGTTGGCCGAAGGGCGAGGCGACCCCATCATCCAGGTCAGAACCAGGACCCCTTTCACCAACAGGGTGCTCTCGGCCCCCATCCCGGAGAAGTACAAGGGGAACGCCATCAAGTCCTACGATGGCCGATCAGACCCCCAGGAACACTTCAGCCGTTATCAGAACAACATGCTGATGGTGAACGCGTCAGATGAATACCTCTGCCGTTGGTTCCTCTCTACTCTTGAGGGGCCAGCGTACGAGTGGTTCAACGCGCTCCCCGAAGGGAGCATTGACTCATGGCAAGACCTTGCCCAACGCTTCCTCACCCACTTTGCCGGGAGGAAGCGTGCGAAGAAGTATTTCACCCACCTCCTCTCCCTCAAGCAGCAACATGATGAGTCCCTCCGGTCGTTCATTGATCGGTGGACGAGGGAGACTGAAGAAGTCGAGGGGGCCGATGAGCGCACCATCCTCGTCCTGTACCAAGGAGCCCTCTGCAGCTCCCCGTACGCCAGGAGCCTCATCACCGACCCTCCAAGGTCGTACGCCAAGGCGCTCCAGCGTGGAAGCTTGTACGCCGACGCCGACGAGCTCCACAACCACAAGAAAGAGGGAGGCCAGCCCTCCAAGAAGAAAAATCCTTCGCCGGCCGCGGGTCCGTCCCCGGCCGGCCAGGGTGCCCAGGGGCGTCACGGCTCTGGTGGACAAAGTAAGAAAGATCGCCACTGGCGGCCGAGGTTGGAACGGCCGGGAGTTGCCCTCACTCACCCGGTCGGCACCATCCTCGACTATGCCGAGAAGCACGGTCTCATCGAGCAGGCTCCTCGGCCGGCCGAGGAGGTCCT